CAAAAACACTACATCTAAAGAAGAAATCTGGAATGAACAACACTCCAAAATTATTACTAAGTTCTTTCAACAACCATTCTTTGTTCAAAACATAACCCAACATAATTCAACTTCATTACATTCACAAAAGTTATCCATCATTGTTAAACCATTTTGAGTGCCTAAAACAGAAAGCAAAAGTTCATCCACAATCAACCATACTCCAAAAGTAAATCTAAGTCAATCATCCATAGTTCAAAAATACTCCAAAAATCAACAACACTCCAACATAAATCAAAGTTAATCATCCTTGCGAGCAACACTCTCTTGAGTGCCTAAAGCATCATTAATCTTCCTCCCTTTTGCATTTTCTCCTTTTCTCCAGTCTTACTAGAACCAGCACCTCTGTCAGAAATGACATGTACTCTTCTTTCTGATGCCAACTGCATTTGTGACATTGTAAATAATAAAGAAAAATAAGTATACAAGTATAAAATCAGCCATGAGATCGCAAAAATGAGAAAGATAAGAAACAAAACTATTAAGGTAATAAACATACCCTCATGTAGGTATTACAGTCTCCTCAGACTGAAGGATACCAAATCCCTTTCTTGCCTAAAAACAAATACAACAATAAATCATCACACAAACAGCATGATATATGCAATAAATATCTTTCAAACTTTAATAAAATAAAATGCTATTAGAACATGATTTCTTATTGTGCCCTTTATGAAAACATCTTTGACAAGTCATAGTCAACCCAAATCTCTTCAACTTAGTCCCACAATTCATTTCTTCCTCAGGTGCTCTCTTTCTTTTCTTCTTTGGCCTTCCTGGCATCTTTTTGAAAGGAGGAGGAAGGATAGGATAACCCTGTGCAACTGGCCACAATTTCTTCCCATTTATAGGTTATAATGACAAACTGTACAACTAGAAATACCTTTCAACTGAGTAATACTCAGACACAAACTCTACAGGATCCTGATGTTGGAAATGTATTGCAGAACATGCATGTACACGTGGTATGCCTGTAATATCCCAATATCTGCAAGTACATGTCTTGTTCTTCAAGTTCACAACAAACTGATCATCCTCATGCATAACCTCAAATCTTTCACCAACAGTTGGCTTTGTCATACAGTGCCTAGACATGTATTTGTTATGCTCTAACTTCTTTCTTATTCTAGGACAAATTTGATCTGTATGCCCACTAAGTCCTAACAACTTGTCATGTTGTCTTTTCATTAACTCACTTCTAACAACCTCAAGCATATCAATAATGTGCTTACTTCTACCCTTCACAATCATTCCATTAAATGTTTCACTCACATTGTTCTCAATCATATCACATCTAGACAATGGAGAAATGTAAGCCTTACAGAATTTGGTAAGATCTCTGTCCATGAAATCTTCATAAGCATCTGGATCTTCAGACTTCAAATCTTCCAAATATATGTTGTAGTCACCGAAGTGAGTGCTGAGCACAATCTTCCAGAAAATGGTTTTCAGTGTAAGCCCTTTGAAACTCTTCTTCCAGTTCATATATACATGTCTTGCACAGTTTCTGTGCTCAACATGTGGGGTCAAATCTCTCAATGCATTCAGAAGACCCTGCAAAAGGAAATAAAATTGAAAATATACAATTTCAGATATGATTAAAGTGGAAAAATTCATTTGTGAATAAATTCACAAAATTTAAATTAATTAGAGACATAACTTACTTTTTGTTGGTCTGACATGAAAGTATATCCAAGGCAATCATTAATTCCCAGATAAGAAACAAAATACTTAGAAACCACCACCAACATTCCTCATTTTCTGTCTCAACAACTGCCCAAGCCACAGGGCATATTTGATTGTTGCCATCTTTGGCCGTGCCACACAATAAATCCCCCTATAAAAGTCTTCAAGAAACACCCATCAAATCCTAAAATGGGCCTACAGCCACTAAAGAAACCTTTTCTCAGTGCACTAAATCCCACATAGAAACCTCTGAATGTTGTTTCTTCACCAAGAAGAAACTCAAACCTTCCATCTCTGTCTACCCTCAACAACTCTGCCATGTAACTTCTCAGAGAAGCATAACGGCCAACTACTGAACCTCTAAGCATCTCAAGAGCTCTCCACTTTCTTCTATAAAGCTTCCACTTTGTAGGTTGTACTGCATACTTCTCAAATATTATTTCTTCCATTTGGGTAATGGACATGTTTGGATTCTTCCTGAATTTTTCAAGAAACTCCTCAGTAATCCACTCTGATGTAACTTACCTGCTGTGGACATTTCTATGGCATTTGTGCTCCTTGTTGAACTGTTTAATTGCTACACTGCCCTCTTTCATAACTGCACTTGCATACAAGGTCTAAGGGCAGCCATCAACTCATTTCACTCTCAACTACTTTTTGCTAGTTTTCAGAAACTGTATGTCTCTCCCTTGAAAAATTGCTACATTCCTAACTGCTTTTTCAACTCTTCTATGCTTATGAATCTCATCCCCAACATAAACTCAAGAGTACTATGATCACATTTAGGGTCATAAATAACTATTTTCCTTCTACCTATACAGTTCCCATCCTCATCCACTTCTCAATCACTACCTGAATTTTCAGATACCAATGCATAAGACCCTAAATTTCCCAAAAAAAAAACCCTAATTGCTTAGAGAAATCCTCAATTTTCCCAAAAAACCGTGATGGTTAAGAGAATCCTAATTTTTCCAAAATCCCTAATTGTTCAGAAAAGCCCTAATTTCCACAAAAAAACCTAATTGTTTAGAAAAACCCTAGTTTCCCCAAAAAAATCCTAATTTCTTAGAAGCCCTAATTTCCCCAAAACGAACCCTAATTTCACAAAAAAAAACCTAAATTCCAAGAATAAATCTAATTTCTAAACAAGCCCTAAATAGAAGACCACACTCTCGAAATCAGTACAAAGACCACATACTCGGAATAAAAAATGCAGAAACCACATGACAAAGAGTAGACAAGAAATTAAAAAACGCATAACATTCCAAATTTGACGCACTACCTCGAGTACAAAACGGAGACAATAAGAAATAAAGAATAGGAGAAATTCGGAGCACATGTCTTTCATTTTCCCGACATATAAGGAATGTCAAACGCACCCTCAGAAGGAATCTCGAACACAGAAACACAAACTCTCATGCAATTGGGTCCACTTCGTTGTGGATTCTTGATACAGAGAGAAGATTTCAGTTGTAGGGTTTGATTTTTGTCGTCGACATCGAATTTTTCTTCGAAGTAAGTTAGGGAGAATTTAGGGTTGGGGAATTTGTGAAATTGGGGAAGGGAATTGACTTTTATACTGGTTTATGTGAAATTCCACGTATTTTAATTAATCTTACTGAGCAAACTGAAAATTACACGTAGATGCATCTAGCTGGACACGCTGGCATGTTTTGGTCGTCTGACGGGTTTTAAGTCGATTTTGCAAAAGTTATATAAGGTAAAGATTATATTGCAATTATGCAGAAGTTTGGATTAAATTGCCAAAAGTGAAAAGGTCGAGGTTTATTTGGAAATTAACCCAAAATTTATATAAGTCGTGGTATTATAAACAACTTTATTAAAAAAAATATCCCCCTATACATTAATTCAGAACGTGCTGAGCCTAAGTGGCAGACTCGCATGCTTCGGGATCTTATGTGACAAAATTACATGCTTCGTTATTAGGCTTGGGTAGATTTTAATTTAATTCCAATTCAAAAATAATTAGGTCCGGATTACCATACATATGTTGATTATTTATGGTCATGTTACATGTATTAATTGTATTTTAATATAGTTTCTTATTATAACCATTAAATTGTAAATGTATTTTAAAAGATAATAACTAATATATCAAATTAATCATCTCCTAATGAGCTTCGATTTAACATCCATATTGCATGTATAAAATAAATAAATTATATTTATCTTTATAATAATAATAAAATTATTTTTTAATATTATTTAGAAAAATATAATCATTTATCAATTAATATATATCAGTTTTACATATATAATATATCAGATTAATCATCTATTGATGAGTTTCGATTTAACATACATATTGTATGTATAAGAAAAATAAATTATATTTATCTTTATAACAATAATAAAATTATTTTTTAATATTAATTAAAAAAATATAATTATTTATCAATTAATTATTTCAAATAGTTATATGATATAAGTTATAAAATTACTATAATATTGTTATACCACCAATACCTGAACCGCTCGACCGCTCCTCTCGAACCGGGTTGAGCCTCCTTGATCGTCGGTACCTGCAAAACACGTCGGGGGTGGTCCCTGCGCGGACACTCCGACGCTCAAGTTAGTGATGTATCCGGGAGAGAAAACGACATAGTAGCGATATAACGAGTGTATGTGTGTTGTGTAAAATGAATAAACCTGTTTCCTTTTATAGGTGAGGTCATGTACTAGTCGAAGAGTTCTTGTTGGTCCAGAAGTCTTTTTCGTGCTTATCTCTAACCTGGATCAAATACATCCAGAACTTTAGAGTCCTCATTACTACAAACTCCCTTTGACTTAGCCACGAAGCCATCTCCGGACCCTGATCTCCTCAGCAGAACCCTCTGGCCGAGTTGCCCAGATGCCGAGGTACCCCGCTACTGAAATGCCTAGCTACCTGAGCGCCCAGCTATTGGGATCACTCAGTATTCTGCCTAGCTCACGCCAGACTAATCTCCGCCCAGCTGGTTGAGCTACGCCTAGCTGGTCGACCCACGCCTAGCTGGTTGAACCATGCCTAGCTGTGACCAAGCTCGGCCTATGACCGGTCCTTCACGAACCACTACTTACGACCGTATCAAATATAACACATGTAAGTCACAAGTAACAAGTGTCATTCTAACATATATAATAATATATATTATTTGTAAAAAAATAAATAAAATTTAAAATAATTTTCTCATTAATTTTATAATTTAAGAACAATTTTTTAACTAGTGTACTAGTATATATATATATATTGTGGGAGATGACTTATCCTAAATTGAAAGGAGTCCCATTTTCCCCATATGATGTTTTACCTCGAAGCTTTTTTTAACAAAAAATTTTACTGCAGTGTGCAAACACGCTTTTCAGCATCAATGCTTTAGGATAAGGCTGTTCAGCTCGTATCGCCGGTGCACTCAAATTCCTCACCTCCAATGGCGACTGCTCTCTCTTCCATATTGCCGGCGGTGGGGGCGGCACACAGTACTGTCTCCCCTTTGAAAGCTCAAAAGCCTCCGGCAACTCTACGGTCCCTCAAACCATTTAATCGGCCCCTCGTTCCCTCTATTCACCGAAGACCACCAATTTCAGCTAGTGCTGCGGCTACCGTGGAAGATGAACGGCAAAACGATGAAGAGTCGATAAGCATTGATGTCCTTAGACGCTTCATTAACCTCAACTTGGGCTACTGGACCGGCTCTTTCCATGTATTTATCGGTTCTTCTGTAGTGTTCATATACCTTTCTACAAAAGTATATTTGGTACAAAAATTGTTGCCACGATATGTTATGGATAATGATAACATATGATTTCTGGTGGTTTCTTGCAGCAATTCGATTGCAATGGGGATTTGTTGCATAAAATTAGCACGAAGCTCAGTGCGAGTTCGTATGGGGAAGATGAACTCATGAGCTTGATTCAATCGTAAGTTGTTATTCCTACCTGCTGGAATGGAGTGTCAATTTATCTTTTCTGTTAATACATATAGTGTGAGATTTCGTATCATCTCTTATCTATGTCCAAGTCGGTAATCATCACTCAATGGGAGTAAGAAAGAGGCTAAGTTTTTTCGCAAAATGTGATAGAAATTAACTAAAAAGGTCCGTTTGGAAAGTTGATCAATTTCTTGAAGTGCTAATGCTAGGTATTGACATTATATCCTGATTTAGCCAGTTTACGTGCGAAAAAAAAGAAAAAAAAAATCATTTGTGTAGTTGCATCTCCATTTGTCTTTTCATGCCATTGTCGTAAAGGTGGCTGAAATTACGTCATCATTTAACGGACGGCGGAGTTGGTTAACATGCCATGTGAATATTAGCTCAATTATCTTGCTTTCTTCTGCTGTTCCAATTTTATATTTCTTTCATTACTAATAATCATAGACTTGTTATGTTGTTGCTCTCCACCTCATCATCATGCCAAGGTGAACTAGTGAATGATATCTCTTATACACAAGTCGCCTTATGTTTTGTAAAGTTTATTAACTTCATTTGTTCAGAAAATCTTCACCAGAAAAACACATGTATAATACTTTGCATCTTCATTAATTTGTTTAGTTGAAAACCCAATCTGATGCCTAATTGTACTATGTATTTTGGAGACTACACTGTATGCCCTTGCAATTCTATAAAACATGCTATTATTGATGTCATAAAAATACATTGCTGTATTCGTTTTGTTAGCTATATTGTTTTGTTGATTCACTCATTTCCAAAATACAGGTTGTACATCAAGCAGCCTCCTCTAAGCACTTCAGACCCTGAAGAATGGTTCGAGTACAAAATTAAAGAATCCAACATGTTCACAGTTGACAAATATCAACAGGTGAGACTTCTCGGCGACTAATGCATTTTCATAACTCAGTGTTATGAAAAATTTGAGCTTCTGTTGTATGTACCATGGCATTTTAATTTATTTTACTTTTAGTTCAATATCTACTGAATTTAGTATGCAGATTTGTTTTTTCCCTATAGAGAAGGCATTTGCATTGAGATACCAGACAGCTGGAATGTTGGAAACAGTGATAAGACAAGGGGTGTTAGGTGAAGATGATACTGGTGAAGAATCGCCCAGGTATTTGGGTGTGTGATTGTGTGTTTCTCTTTTGCTTTTCTCAGTAATTATTTATTTCTTTATTTTAGTGAGTGATAATTTTGGAGACTGAGCTTAATATTTTAAAATCTTATGGCTAAATTATCTAATTAACTAAAAAAAAAATTCTTTTTGTTGTTCGTTTTTCTTCTGAAGGAATTTGAAGCTTCCTTCTCGACGGCCGGCAATTGTATGTGAAAACTGCATCTCTTCATTTGAAAAAGATGTGAGAGTGAGAGCTTTCCATATAATGAACCCACAGGGCATACTCGAAATGCTTCTGTTATTCCTGGAAGAAAGAGGAAGCAAAGATATTGCTCATCCTTCCTTTTACGAGTCTAGTGTACCTTACTTTACCTCCAAAATCAACAAATCCTTTGGAAATTTGTGAAATATTAACTAGTATTATATAATTTTGGGGTGTAGGATTTGGACAGGATTACTCCACATTTGGGTACATGGAAGGGTCGCTCTATAACCAAACGCAGTGGTGTTTATGGAGCCACAATAGCCAAAGCCAGTACAGTAGCTACACTTGAAATTAATGGGGATGGTCAGCTTGCCCAGGTTTGACTATTTTTTTTAAAACCCAGAGTTGCTAGTGAATTCTCTTCATTTTCCAATTGCCTTAATTTTCGAATAAATACAATCCCCAGAGAAATTACAAAAGAAAATTGAAAATGCTTCCACTGTGTTTGCAGAAACCTGTGCTTTTAGAAAGAAATGATTTGATTATCGAAATATTATTCCTTGATTGCAAACATTCCCATAGTCCTCAAGTGTGGAGTCCATGAAATAATATCCCAAATCCATTTTCCTTGACAATCTACTCATCCACAGTTGAACATCACGTTCTACTTGAGCATGCAGTTATTATAACGTTTTCACCTTCCGTGGTTTGAATCATTTAAAATATTGGTTTTAATTATTATTATCATTATTTATTTATTTTTTTCTAAAATCGGCATAGGAGATAAGATGTACATCAGATGGTGGTGATGTGACGACATCTGTAAACTGGATGGGTTCAATCTGTAAGAACACGATCAGCTTTGATGGTGGTTACCAGTTTACGTTGTTGCCGGGTGGAATCTACATGGGATGTCCTTCTGACATTGCAAAGAGCGTGCAAGAATCAATGTGCTTTCATTTGGAGCTCTGTTGGGCTGAGTCAGCTGTCAAGAGACAGAGACTGGTCCGGACATACGATGCAGAAGGGTTAGCAGTGTCGTCAACGTACTTTTGTGAAACTAAACAATGATAATTCTCTCTGTGTGTGTGTGTGAAAGCCAAAATTATTCTTGTACAATGTCGATTAGAAAGAACCATTCCAGATCTCTCTCAATGGAGAATATTTTGCCCCAATATGATGTGAGTTTTTAATTAGTATAGGATTTAGCGATGAGTTGAAGAATAATTGTACAGGCAAAAGAACCTGCTGGTTTTGCCCGAATATGGGGAGTTGTAAGGTTCATTTTCAGCTTTAATGAAGTGTGCATTAAAGTTCTTTCTTTCACATATTACCATCAATAGTAAACTATCGTGTGGTCGAAAATTACTGTCCCATGTTATATTTCCGGGGAAAAAAAACTGTTAGAGCACGTTTGTTAGGAGTATCAAGATAAGATTGTTTTTATCTCATTCAACAAGATTGGATTGTAGAGATTAGATGCATTGATTGTTTGATAAGTATGATTGACTTCAGATTAGATTATATTGTTTTGTTTTGGAATGCATTTGTTTCATATGATAATTGATGAGATAAATTGTAGATATACATTTTTACCCTTTGTTAATAATATTATTATTGTGTTTCTTCTATCACATAAAAAAAGGGGAGCTTAATAGTTAACTTCAACACATGGTTTATTGCACTCGAATTTCCGGGGACCTGTTTTTTAAAAAAAATAAAAAAAAAATAAAAAAAAAAATCCTCACATTTCACTATAGCTCGTCTTTTGTTCTAAATTTTTTTAATTTAGGTTTTTAATTTATAGTACAATATAAGATCATGGAAAAACTTTTTTTTTTNCTCTGATTTGGTTAAACTCTTCATCATGAAATATCTAAGGTGTGGACCAGTAAAAACTGGGCATATGAAAATTAAAAAATTATTATACTTTTGTATCTTTCTTAATTTTTAATTTACTTTTGTATGTTAGCACAAATAACCAATTCATAAAAAAATAGCCGAAATTAAAAAACAAAATAAAACCGCCTTGAAGAACAACCACAGGCAGGACGAAAATTCACAAAAAATGAAGGTGCTAAAAAAATACAGAGACAATTTTTAAATAAAAAATATTATACATAAAATACTTATTACAGGCATAGGCGATCAATAAAATTGAAAAACAAAATATAAAATAAGGTACAAATTTCAGAATACAAAACTGAAAGGAAAAAATGAACGTAACTCACTTGTGCAAGGGTTGTCGTCTGGAATTTTTCTACACTGTAGAATCTGAAATTTATAGGAACATTCAAACGCATATTAAAAATTTTGGCCGTCCTTAAAATATGCACCATGTGTACAGTTCGGCGAAAATAAGAATGAACACCATGTTTTAAAGATTAGTATGCAACACCTGTTTGTAAAGATTAATTTTCGAGAAGATACTCACCAATAATGGACACCGAAGGTGTTGGGTGAAGTTCAGGCATTTTCGTAGTTTCTGAAAGACTAGAGGGTGTCATGGTCACAAAGTGAAAATATGAGGGTTATGTTGGTCTTTTTGCAGGGAAATTACTGTAATGATTCTTCTAATCTTGGGTACCCCCTCCAGACCACTTTATCTCCGGAAATCGAGATTACCTCCTTTTTTGTCTCGGGCCGCAGATTATGTCGCGGGCCATAATCGCCCTTAACAAACGGAGTTTTTGCTCATGATAAGGGGTGTAATCTTGTCTTGACACCCCTAACAAACGTGCTCTTAATGTCTTAGGATTTTAATAGAAGATAATTAATTAGAAAAGTTAGAAGACTAATGTGAGGTATTATCTGCAATCATATATGAAAAAATTTATGTTCATTTTGCTTTTTATATATATATATATATTTTTTTTTGTCATACTATATATCTATTTATTTTGTTTATCAATTTTCAGATTTTTGTTGTTGTGGTTCACCCAGCTTACTGTTCTTCAGGCTCTGCCTGACAGCTCGAAATCTCATAAGCACAAAACGTTTAAACGTACGTAGTAGTTAGAAACTAATGCATCAATCTGTCAAAACTCTTGACTAGTAAATATTATCAACTTAAACAGTTTGCCGATTATTTTTTTCCCCTCAACTTCAAGGTAGCCTAACCTAAACCAATTAAAACAGCAATAAGAAATTTATAAAACTGAACTCAAGAAGAAGAAGAAGAAGAGGGAAAGAAACATCAGCATTCGTAGTATACAACGGGGAGCATTAAGAAAACAAAATAGGCTTAAAATAAAGAGAGATGAAGAAGAAGAAAAAGAAATATCAAATCTGTTTGTGCTGTTGTGAGATTGATATATTTCTATCCAACTTGGAATGTCAATAAGGATTTCAAATCAAACAAATGGAGAAACTTGTGTTTGGCAGATTCCTACATTTCTAAGCTGGAGCTATAGAAACAACAACAAACAAAAATACACCTTCAGATGCTAGTGTCATTATAATTAAATAAGTTTAGAAAGGCTTAATTAAGAAGGGTCAAGTACTTGACAACCTTTGTCTCACAAATCTGCAGAAAATGTAGCATACAAAAGTTAGTGATACTTACAAAACTACATCATTTTAGCTCTTCAAAATTACAAATACCCCTTAATGAGGACATCCTTAGTCATTCATTGTATTGCAAATTTGTTTTCACTATTATACAATTTTTCTTACAAGTAGTGAATTATGTATAGAGTAGATTGTCCTCATTACCTTCATAGAATCTGGATTTACGATGCAGTTGACGAGATTGGTTGTTATGTTGCCTCGAAGACATTTCTTCTTCAGACATCAACAACGCTGATAATACAACTCTGCCTTTCTTCATATTGCCATTCTCCTACAAGAGTTCCAGATAAAAAAAATTGTAAATAAATAAATGAAAGTCAGTCAACGAACAATTTTGACAAGGCTACTCTAGCTTCTACTTGTTTATACAACTGAAAATGCATATAACCCATTTGCATGCAACCGCGGGCATGACTTTATAATTATAACCGGATACTTTTTTTTTTTCTCTAAAAACAAATACTACCTCCTATTTTTTTTAAATGTCATTTTGGCTTTATCAACACTTAACTAAATAATGACGTTTTAGATCTTTTGTACATATTTTTCCATTATTATCCCCATCTAGCTAATAAATACACTACGTCTTTTCATATTCACTCTTCATCTTTTCTCGAAACATCCATCTCTATTCTCATTAATGAGGGTTATTATTGGCAAAAAATAAATTTCAATTGCAACTTCTTAAAACGACACTTATTGAAAATAGGATGGACTAATAATCTGCGATAAAAGTGCTTGTAATAAACGGCTTACCGCATTAATTTGGTGAGTAAACGAGTCATCGTTCACGTGCAGTATGTCGGACTCTTGACCATGCCACCTGTGAGCTCCCACTGGCCTATGCTTCTTGGGTCGAACGAAGTTGCCAGATGGCTGGATGGGAACTGATCGCGTGCTCGACTGGCGGGACCCACCCGACTCATCAGTCATCCTCGAAATCTCCGACAGAGTGTCGTGCGGCTGCTTCCTCCTCTGTACATTGGCACTGCTGCTGTAGTTGCGCTGTCCCACCGATTCTTGCACATTCTTACGCGAGGTCCTTGCTCCTACTGACCCACCACCCTTCATCCTATCACATATAATATAACACACCATTGTTTTTCAAAATGTTCTTACCAACTCACAAATGCTATGGACAATAAGACCACAAACCTTTTTGCTTCATCACGGGATTTGGCATCCATCTCTTTGTTGGGTGGGTACTTTGGTAAGCTTGCGGGATCACACGCGTAAGGCAGCATGCGGAAGTACTGAAAATGAAAAACAGGATATGAATCATTAACTATTATATATATCTCATCATTATTCAAGCTCATTATTCTGCTAAACTTTATTATACCTTGGAATCAAGAGCAGAGGAAGCGGTGCCACGTTTATAAGGCTCGATCGACAGAAATGTTTCGATTAAGCTGACTGCGCTTTTTGGAAACTCTCTACATCTTTCTCGGAGTCTACTCTCGTACGGAAGTTGGGGCTTGAACATGTTAGCCAGAGGAAGTTTTGACTCTTTCCAGTAGTCGTTAGGTGGGGACCCACAAAGTTTGAAGATTTTATGCAATTGTTCCACCTACGCATGCCAACATCAAATAGTAAGACACATATTCATCAAGTTTGGTGGAGGAAAGGTCCGGTAAAGCTTTCAACTTTTTAATTAACCCAAACAATTTGAGCATTGCAATTTATGGATAAAGGCATTGTATTCTACCTCAGTTCTGCCTTTAAAGAGAGGCTTTCCAAGGAAGATCTCACAAAAAACACAACCCACACTCCATAAATCGACAGCTTCCCCATAATTAGTCGATCCCAAAAGGAGCTCAGGAGGACGGTACCACAAAGTGACTACACGGCTCGTCAATGGCTGCTTGTTCTTTGGTCTCATGAAATTCGCAAGACCAAAATCCCCTATTTTCAGAATCCCTTCATTATTAATCAAGATGTTTGACGTTTTAATATCACGATGCAATATTCCTCGTTTGTGGCAGTGTTCTATCCCGCTCAATAGCTGTCTCATATAGCACTTGATCTGCCTCCATATACAAACACACAAAACGAAAGAAACCCATAAAAACGATGGAAAGGAATGGAAATATTCAAATTAGGGAATGGCATTGTGAGCCATATAGCACTGTCGATGAACTCGGTAAATTAAAAAATAAAATGTTGATTGTTCAAAAGAAAAATATCAAAAAATATTGACAGACTAACTTGTGATTCAGTAAATTTGATCTCTGGACAAGATAACATCCCAGCAAGGTCGTGTTCCATGTATTCGAAAACAAGGTATATGTAGCATGATACTCGAGAAGTGATTATTCCCTCGAGCTTCATGATATTAGGGTGGTCAAGCTTGCGCAGGATTACGATCTCACGAGCCATAAATTTCACGCTCCCCAGTTGAAAGTTATCGAACCGCACCTTCTTCAGAGCAACAATTTTGCCAGTTTCAACATCGCGCGCGCGGTACACGTCGCTATACGTGCCTTTTCCAATCTACAATTTGCAATCACATATAAAACCAACATATTAGACTATATTTCCATCTGAAACAATGTAAAATGTCGCAAATGATAATTAACTACATATATATGAATACAAATGTGCTAGTATAAAAGAAATAACCTTGTCTAATCTTTTGAACTTGTCCAATCTCATAGGCAGCCAGCCATGAATAGCTTCTCCAGCAACAGCAGAGAGCCAAGCGGGCCAGCCAGCCGCCACATGTTCTCCTTCGCTCAACCTCCCGAATCTCAAGCTAAAAACAGCCTTTTTATGAGACGGCCTTCTCTTTACGGCCCGTAAATTCCTGGAATGGCCCGAAAAAGTTGACCCTTCCTTAACAGCCTCATCTTCCATCTCCTCCTCCTCATCCTCCTCATCATCTTCCATTTCTTCCTCTTTCTCGGGCTCCTCCTTTATTTTCTCCAAAGGCCCGAACGCGGCCCGTACGTGCAACAATGAAGGTGGGCCTGACAGGGCAAGCCCGTTGTTCAGGGTGGCCCTAGCAGAGGATGATGAGGAAACTGAATAACGGTCATCTTCGGGCGAGTCTTGTTCGGGCCTTGACTTCTTGGAGCTGATGCAACCCATGGCCCACCAAAACCCATCAAAGGGAATGAGATGCAGAGGAAAGTATAGTACCCAAGATGGTCAAACGGGCCGAATCTTGGGTGGGTTGGTTGTGAAAACAACAAACCCCTACATCAGCTTCATTTTTTTTTATTTTTTATTTTTTTTGGGAGAAGATGAATGAATGTTTTGCCCGGAAAAATGAAAAAAAAAAGGGAGAGGGACAGGGATAGGGAGACAATTTCTCAAGAAACTGGATTTTTTTTTCTTGAGAGGTGGCGAAGGAGAGAGGAAATGGAAAAAGGAAGTGTCAAATNATTCCGATATCTGCGGAGGCGGAGTGGCAAGCACAGGGGCAGATACATTTACGTTGGTTTTGATCTATTTGGGGTTGCCTTTCGTGAAATTCTTGCGCCAACTTAAGGTTAAGTTCGACCGGTTAAGATTTTGGTACGAATTTCGGTTGGGCGACGTTGGTGTTCATGAATCACAGGCCGACAGGCAACGCCTACAAGAGGAGGACATGTAGAAAAGAATGTGTAAAATGATGCTATTTTTTTATTGATTTCAAATGAAATTATTACACTTATTTTAAACCAGTAAAGTGCTATATAATTATATTTTAATGTCATTTTAAATTATATTTTCTGTTTTATATTTTTATGGTCTATTTAATTTTTTGTAATGTTATTTTTAATTAATCAAACACAAGAATTACATTACAAAATGAACAGTGTCAAATATAATGAAAGTTGAAATACAATCTTTAAAATAACAATATTTAAAAGTTATGGTGAAAAAGATTGCATAAAAATCTGGATTGAGAAACCTTCATTATCTAAGTTAGTCTTGTTTATTCAAAATCTTTTTTGTTTGAGGAAGAATGAAAATTATGTACAATAAAACGCAATTAGAATCTTTTACAACAATAATTGACACTAGTACAACACTTGTGTATTACACAGGTGCTTGTCAATTTTTTTTTACTTAATTCTAAAATTAATGAGAAAAAGTAGTTTAAAATGTAAATACTTTTTATTAAAAAATATATATTATTATATATTTTAAAATGAAACTTGTTACTTGTGCGACTTACCTATGTTATACTATAATAATTTTTCTAACTTATAACATATAACTACTTTAGATATAAATATAAATCGAGAATAATTTTATCATTATTATTATAAAGATAAATATAAATTATTTATATACATACAATATGGATGTCAAATCGAAGCTCATCAGAATCTGATTAATGCAATATATTATATGTGTAAAATCGATAAGAAATACAAAAGTTATCAAACTTTTAAAATACATTTGCAATTCAATGGTTATAATAGGAAATGATATTAGAATATAATTAAGACATGGTCATATTTAATAAACATATTTATATTAATCCAAACTTAATTATTTTTGGATTGAAATTAAATTAAAATTTAGCCAAACCAAATAATGAAGCATGAGATTTTGACAGCTAGGATCCCGAAGCATGCGAGCCTGACACTTAGGCTCTGCACATTCGGGAATTATATATAAAGGGGATGTGATAGTTTACAACTTTGTCTTCTTATGTTGAAGGAGACCATTCTTTGTTATTATTTTTATTGGCTAAATAATACAATTATAATTTAATTGATATATGTTAGTAAAGTTTTTAAATATTACTCATATTATCTTTCATTTTCGAGTGACATAGTTTTCATATATATTTTTTTTGACTTGATCTAATTAATTATAGTTATTTTCATGAGTTATAAATATATATTGAAATTCAAGTTTTGGTCAAATTTTAATGTTTTTTTAATTTAAATACTATTTTGTTTTTCATGACCCATTACAAACATATGTCACACAATCTCATTTAGATTTCAATAGTCTTTAAAATAATTTAAAAACATTAATTTTTTTAGGTAAACTATATTTTATTTTTCACATAAGAAATAAATTGATCTAAATTAATGTTTCATATTATGTATAATGAGCGATAGTTTTGGCCTTCAGGCCACATTTAATGCTAAAATAATTGCGATTGAATAACTTGTGCAAATATCAACCAATTAATGTGTAGTGAACCATAAGATGTATAAGGCTCGAGCAACCAAATGTGGAACTAGGAATACATGAATGCGAAATGAGTCTGATAGGAAAAGTGATTGGTGAAAAAAAAGGCGAATTTAGTGGGATTCAAACAACAATGGGGGTGATTTAGAGGACAAACAGATCGTTATCAGTAATAATGATTGGGCCAAATCTCTTTCAATTCATTTTTCAAGATAAGGAAGATAAAATAAAATTCTTGAAAGGAATAACCTGATCATTTGATAGTCAGTATTTGCTGCTCAAGGAATGGGTCAAGGATCTTTTTCATTGTCTCTTCTCCTTAGTTCTTCTTCTACCATTAATTCAAAGAGCATGAACTAAAGATTGAACTATGGGTACAAGTTCATAACTCGCCTCTTCATTGGATATCCGCAGAAACAGACAAGAAAGTGGGAAAGATTTTGGGCAAAGTGTTGGATGTGGTGGTTCTTACAACTGGGAGTGTGAATGGAAGAATGGTGAGGAATTTGTGGAGGTTATGGTGAATGAACTGATTATGAGAGGCACTAAAATCAAGCTCATAAAAGAAGAGAAATAGATTGATTTCAGGTATGAGAATCTGCTCAATTTTTGTTTCTATGGTGGGCTTATAGGGCACAATGATAAACAGTGTTAAACAAAAGGTTGATGTGCAAAGGAATATGCGTACGACGAGACAGTTTGGAGACTGGTTAAGGGGTTGTTTTGGGGGTTTTGGGGAGCATAAAGAAAAAAGATCTTCCAGCCCTAGTAGTAATCATCTAGAGATAAAGTCTAGTAAAGCCGGGGACCAGAGAATAGAGGTAGAAGATCATGGAGGCATCTCTACTACTAAAATTATTAAGTCTAGTGATATGGAGGTTGATATGAGATATTATATACCTGAAGGAGTAAACCAGTTCACTACGCCGGTCATACGAGTCTAATATCGAGAATACCACGCTGGTCGAACAATAGTAGCCTGAAAGGAAATGGTCGAACATGGCGGCAGATCTGGTCGAAGATCGACCTACTAAAGGAGAGCTCATCTGATCGACCACCCCACGAGTGAAGAGCAATCAAGAGCGTGATGGACGCAAGGAAGCGCGTGGACTTCTTCAGGAATTCCCAAGGAATATTCAAGGGAATAATTACCCCATGTGCAGAGGACACATGGCGAGAACATATTGGTGCAGAGCGATAGCGACGATAACCACCTCTGACACACACACAGTGTGTGTGTACGGGCAGATCCGGGCAGCGTTGGGCAGACAGCTCATCAAATCCGGGCAGCTCCTAGGGCAGGTATCTCACTCATATATATATGGGAGTGATCCTTTCTTGTTACACACGATTTATCCATTTTACTCTTGAGAATTGAGTAGTACAAACACTAACTTAAGCATCGGAGGCTCTTCACCGGAAAACCCCTCCGGTGTGAGAGTTCTTTGCAGGTACGCGGCGTTCTACCGGAGAGGAGAAAGAAGGCGAGCCGATTTTCAGCCGGTCGGAGTGTTTTGCGTTACCAGAGGTCTTAAGGAAAAAATCCATAGAAAGTGAAAGGATCCATAGCAGTTCGCCGCCCCGACACAAAATGGTTGGAACTAGAGTCCGTGTTATGAGAAATTCAAGCGTTTGGTAGGAACAGGTCTCCTCTGTCTGACTAGCGTTGAACTTGGACGCTTGAGCTGAATATGGCTGAATGTTTGGAGTAGATGCATAGAAATTGTTTGAAGTTGATTATTCCTCTCGTATATGTTTCAATGTTTATTGTTGTAAATTCGTATTATATGTTTGGTATATTATCAAAGTTTTATGTAGTCCTCTCGTGTTTATGTTTTAGATGTTGAGTAGCTCTTTTGTGAATGGATGTTTGGTTATTGTCTGGACAAGACTATTGGTTTAAAAAACTAAAATAAGTTGAAAATAAACTATATATATTCTTGTACTGGACTATAAACCTATAATAAATAGAAATATAAGCTAGATATAGATTTACAGTACAAAAATAATTAATATATTTACATGGTGAGATAATTAAATTTAAATGGAATTGAATAGAGAGTAGAGAGAGGAGAGAAGGAGAAAAACTATAGAGGAGAGAAGAAGAGACAAAAACGGATGAAATAAGAAAGAGAGTAAGGAAGAAATTAAGCTAAAAAAAAAGGATAAATGAGAGGAAATAGAATGTCAATTGTATCAAATTAATATACTCATTTTAAAATTAGTTGTATTCAAGGAATAGGATAAGTTTAGTATATATGAAAATGTTTTTACAATCTAGAATTTTTTTCAAAAGCTTTTAGAAAGTGTAGAAAAGATGTAAAATATCCAAGTTTTACATTACCGCAAAGCTTTAGGGCGTGCTTGGATACAAATAAATCAGCTAAAAAATGGAGTTTTTTTGTTAATTAGGGTTAATTTTGAAAAAAAAGTGGTATGAGTTGTTAGTGAGATTTTGAATTTATATTAAAATAATATTTAAAATAAAATAATTAAAATTAATTTGTTGTAGAATTATGATATAGATGATGTGAAGCGATGGTTAGTTAAAATTACGTGGGTGGGTGAATAGTGAATTAAATTGATGAAATATGTAAAGATGGTCGATTAGTATTATTTAATTATATTAATAATATTGAGGATAGTGAAGTAAAGTTAAAGTTGATTTAAATTTAAATATGAACCGAGTTTATTTATAATCAAACACTTAGGCACTAAGAAGTTTTGCGGTCCTAGTAGATTAAAATATGAGGACAAGAATATGTAATTAATGTGGCATCAATTAAGATAGTTGACCGCGGAAATTTTCAAAAATTCAATTGGTTTGATCTTTTTTGTTCAGATAACCTTTCTCCGTTTCCCTCCCCCAAATCCTTTGCGCCTAACCTAATTTTTTTTCCTGTTTCGCCTTCCCCGGCAGGGCTGCCGGGCACCTTGACGGCGGACAGCCCCCTGGCTGTGTCACTCAGCCCTAATTTTGCATTAGAGCCCGTAATTAGTGTAGCGCCCCGATTTTCACAAGATAAATTTTAATTAGAAAAGAGCACTAAAGTTAAAACGGTATTTTAAATAAAACAAACAACTCAAATTTTGAATAAGGTTGTACAAACGGTAAATGACTGCTCAATTTAAAATAAAAATACATCAGTATATAGAAATCAAAGATAAGATAGAATCAACAATTAGTAAAATATGTTACTTTCACTTTGTCCCACCGCCAACGCCTCACCGAGCTCCTTTACCTGAAAATATTATTATAAAAGAAAGGACTAAGCCAACAATGCTTAGTGGGGAAAAACATGTCACTTACGAATATTACACAATTACACAATGAAAATACTTTTACATGACAGTGAATCTCCAACATGTTTTACGTAGAACTAAATCCACGGAGTACTCGGCCATAATATCATTGTCTAGCCAAAAGGCTACATGTATTTCAAACTGTAGGCAACACTGATTAACCCGAAGGTTTCATATATTAGCATACAGAGATCACATAGTTAATTTAAAAGTAACAATATAACATTCATAAGAGACATGTACATGAATTTTGTAAGAATAAAACCCCACCTTGATGAATGGATAAATGAGGGATGACAAGTTTGACTTGAAGGGATGCCTACTTGTTATCCAACTCTACAATATTAAATAGTCTTGGATTAATACGATTTTACACATATAAAATAGATGAAGGGTTATTAAATTTTAAAATAGATAAATATAACTCTATGTCTATGGACATATAATACATCAAAAGAAGAATAAAATAAATAATTAACATAGCGTATATGTTAAATATACATATAAATTCATATAAAATAATTGGTGGTGTGTGTGGTATACAATATATAAGTATATATATATATACAGGGGATGGATCCAATGGGTCCACCTCTTAAAATGTGGACGTGAGACCCAATCTCAACCGTTGAATCTGCCTTTTAAATCTACGGTCAGCATCAGGTATATATATAATTATAAAATCACGAGCTGAAAAATCACAAACCTTCAGCTCGCTCGCACACAAAATCGGAAATAATATCTCAGATTTCCTCCTCAATCACGATTCTCTGCGATTTCTTTCTCAATCTCGATTTCAACGTCTGATTAGGTTTAACTCTCGTTTTCTATTGATTCTATAGGCAAACTCAACTGCTCGTCAAAAATATCCAGGGAAAAAAAAAGTCGATTTCATCAAATTTATCTACAAATGTCGACGGAAGCAGCTTCAGTTGCGCCATTGATGGAGATCGAAGCAACTCCAGTTGCGCCATTAATGGAAGAAGGTGTACTGACTTTAAATAAAATAGTTGCTGATGAATTCACCATGAATGAGAATCGAGTTAATCAATTAGAATCACGTAATATTGAAAAAAAATTGTTCGTGCTTATCTGCAATTTTGATTTTTGTAGAATCTCTATTTTCTGGCAAAAATATTATATAATGTTGATGCAGTTGTTCCAATTATATAAAGTTGCTGATAATGTTGAATAAATTGTTCATGTTACTCTGGAATTTTGATTCATGACATAACTAACACCTAGCAGCAGTAGACACTAACCTAGCAGCAGTTGACAACTAACCTAGCAGCAGTTGACAACTAACCTAGCAGCATCAGAGAACTAACCTAGCAGCATTAGAGAACTAACCTAGCAACTACATACAACTAACCTAGCAGCATCAGAGAACTATCCTAGCAAATAGATATAACTAATCTAGCAACTACAGACAATTGACCTAGCTGAGAGAACTAACCTAGCAGCATCATACAACTAACATAGCAGCATCATACAACTAACCTAGCAGCATGAGAGAACTAACCTAGCAGCATGAGAGAACTAACCTAGCAACTACATACAACTAACCTAGCAGCATCAGAGAACTATCCTAGCAAATAAATATAACTAACTTAGCAACTACAGACAATTGACCCAGAAAATAAAGACAACAAACCTAGCAACAAGAGACAATTAACCTAGCAACAAGAGACATATAAACTTGCAAATAGATATAACTATCCAAGCAGCAAACATACAACTAACATTGCAACATGATACAACTAACCTTGCATTTGCAATTATAAAGGCTAATGTTTTTGTATGATATTTTGCAACAGGTATTACACATGATGGATGTCAGTTCCAATTGGTGATATCACCAAATTCAACAAAGTACTGGATACCAATTGTCAAAGAAGATGTAAGACCTATAGTTGGCATGCTCTTTGAGAATCTGGAAATTGGAATGCAATATTACAGAAACTATGGGGCAAATGGTAGATTTGATGTTCGTGCTAGTACAAAAAAACGTTTTAGAAGTGGGATGGTGAGAAAACAATTCATAGTTTGCAGCAAGGAAGGATTTAAACTACAATCCAGACCCCAAAATTCAACAGGAGTTCATCGAGAACGTGTTTAAAAAAGAATTGGTTGCATGGCTCGGGCAGTGTTTGAATACGATGATGGAAAAGGATACAAAATTACATATTTCGAAGAGAAACACAGCCACAGTTTGACATTGGAAGCACATTATTTGAATGCAAACAGGCAATTGAATTATGGCCAGCAGAAGTTTGTCCTTAATTGTGTAAAAGCCAACATTGGACCTGCTAAAACACACAGGTTATACAAGGAAATGGTTGGAGGATATGAAAATGTTGGTGCTCTGGCAATTGATTTCAAAAACTTCAAAAGAGAACTTATGACTTACATGTCGGGGGCAGATGCACAACTCATCATTCAGAAATTTCTCAACAAGCAGGAAGTTTACCCGGACATTGCATTTGAATATGCTGTGGATGAAAATAATCAATTAAGC